ACATGGCCGGGACCATCCAAGATACAAAATTCCATGTTATCGAAGGCGACATAAGATATAATACATTACTCGGGAGGCCATGGATCCACAACATGAGGGAAGTACCTTCAACCCTCTATCAGATGATGAAATTCCCAATAGTAGATGGTGTGAAAACAGTTTACGGAGAACAACACGCTACAAAGGAAATGTTTGCAGTCGATGAACTGACACTGATACCAGTGCCTTCGACCTCGGAAAAATCAAGCACCAAAGATAAGCAGACGTCCAAATAGCAATCATCGTCCCCAGCCTCGACCGAACCGGAGGAACAGGTAATCGAAGAAGAAGAAGAAGAGGATTTCCTTACTCCTCGAACTTTCGTTGTTCCTGAAGAGTCAGATACAACCAAGTCAACGGTCGAGGAACTGGAACAAGCCATACTGACCGAGAGTATACCCGATAAAAAGGTATACCTGGGAACGGGGTTAACCCCCGAACTCAGGAAAATATTCATTCAACTTCTTATCGATAACACAGATTGTTTTGCTTGGTCCATTTAGACATGACAGGGATCCCACCGGAAATAACAACACACAGGTTGAGCCTCAACCACCCCAAGTTCAAACCAGTGAAGCAAAAAAGGAGGCCCTAGTCCGAGGTGAAGCATGCATTCATAAAGGATGAGGTAACTAAACTTCTTAAAATAAGGTCCATTCGGGAGGTAAAATATCCCGAGTGGTTAGCCAATGTAGGTGTAGTCCCTAAGAAAGGGAAAAAACTTAGAATGTGCATAGATTATAAAGATTTAAACAAGGCATGCCTCAAAGACTCTTTTCCACTGCCTAACATTGATCGCATGATCGACGCCCTGGCCGGCTACCGGATCCTTACCTTTCTCGATGCCTACTCCGGGTATAATCAAATTCAGATGAATCGGGAGGACAAGGAGAAGACCTCGTGTATCACTAAGTTTGGAACATATTATTACAATATAATGCCCTTCGGGCTAAAAAATGCTGGAGCTACATACCAACGCCTAGTTAACAAAATGTTCGAGGAACAGATAGGCATAAATCAATGGAAGTTTACATTGATGATATGTTAGTTAAGTCCCTGCGCGCAGAGGACCATTTGATTAATTTGTAGGAAACATTCAAAATCTTGAGGAAATACAGCATGAAACTTAACCCCGAAAAATGTGCCTTCGGGGTAGGCTCAGGCAAATTCCTCGGATTCATGGTATCAAATCGGGGAATCGAAATCAACCCTGATAAGATTAAGGCGATCGAGGATATCATCATCGTAGACTGTGTGAAAGCTGTACAAAGGCTATCTGGACAGATAATTGAAGCCACAGGTTCTTTTCTTTACTGAAAAAGAAAAATGATTTCACATGGACCCCGGAATGTCAACAAGCATTGGAAGAATTGAAGTGATACTTATCGAGCCCACCTCTGCTTCACACTCTGAAGGCACTTGAGAAACTGTATTTATACTTGGCAGTGTCCGAAGTGGCGGTAAGTGGTGTATTAGTTCGAAAAGAGCAAGGTACGCAATTCCCTGTTTATTATGTGAGTCGAACCTTAGGAAATGCTGAAACTAGATACCCACATCTAGAGAAATTGGCACTTGCATTAATAAGTACATCTAGAAAATTGAAACCATATTTCCAGTGTCACCCCATATGTGTGCTAACCACTTATCCTCTTCGAAACGTTTTTCATAAGCCCGAGCTATCAAGACGATTGGCCAAATGGGCAGTCGAACTTGGCGGGTACGATATTGAATATCAACCCCGGACGACCATCAAGTTGACTTCGTGGCCGATTTTACACCAACCCTCGTACTCAAAGTAGAAAAGGAACTTCTACTAAAATCAAGTATAACATCAGGGGTATGGACCCTTTTCACGAACGGTGACTCGAATGTGAAAGGGTCCGGGCTCGGAATTGTTTTGAAGCCACCTACAGGAAGCACCATCAGACAATCCATCAAAACTTCTAGGTTAACGAACAATGAGGCCGAGTATGAGGCCATGATTGTAGGTCTCGAGCTAGCTAAGAGCTTGGGGGCAGAAGTCATCAAAGCCAAATGCGACTCTCTATTGGTGATAAACCAAGTAAACAAAAGCTTCGAAGTTCGAGAGGATAGAATGCAGAGGTATTTGGACAAGTTGCATGTGACATTGCACTGCTTCAAGGAGTGGACCCTGGATCACGTGCCTCGAGAGCAAAATAGTGAGGCCGATGCGCTTGCAAATCTGGGATCATCGGTCGAAGAAGATGACATTGTCCCGAGGACTGTCGTCCAATTATCGAGATCTGTGGTCGAGAAAGGTCATGCCGAGATAAATTCTACAAGTTTGACTTGGGATTGGAGGAATAAGTATATCGAATATTTGAAGAATGGAAAGCTCCCATCGGATCATGAAGAGTCGAGGGCTCTACGAACCAAGGCTGCTAGGTTCACATTGGATGAAAGTGAAACATTATACAGGAGGACGTTCGATGGACCATTGGTGGTATGTTTAGGGTCGGGAGACACCAATTATGTTCTATGAGAAATCCATGAAGGCACTTGTGGGAATCACTCCGACAGTGAATCTTTGATTCGTAAAGTTATTAGAGCAGTGTATTACTGGGATAGGATGGAAAAAGACACCAAGGAGTTTGTTAAAAAATGTGATAAATGTCAAAGATTTGCACCGATGATTAGTCAGCCCGGAGAACAACTTCACTCAGTCCTGTCCCCGTGGCCTTTCATGAAATGGGGAATAGATATCGTCGGCCCTCTACCAGTGGCCCCAGGTAAAGCTAAATTCATTCTGTTTATGACTTACTACTTTTCTAAATGGGTGGAAGCACAGGCCTTCGAAAAGGTCAGAGAAAAAGAAGTTATTGACTTCATATGGGACCATATCGTTTGTCGATTTGGGATACCTACCGAAATCGTATGCGACAATGGCAAGCAATTCATCAGCGGCAAGGTAACGAAGTTCCTCGAAGCACACAAAATAAAAAGGATTTTATCAACGCCATACCATCCGATCGAGAACGGACATGCCGAGTCAACAAACAAAACTATCATTCAAAACTTAAAGAAGAGGTTGGACGATGCAAAAGGAAAATGGAGAGAAGTTCTATCCGAGGTTCTTTGGGCATATCGAACAACATCGAAGTCAAACACGGGGGCAACCCCGTTCTCCCTAGTATATGACTCTGAGGCTTTGATTCCAGTCGAGGTTGGGGAACCCAGTGCCAGATTTCGGCATACATAGGAGGAATTAAACAACGAGGCTATGAATACTAGCCTCGAGCTATTAGATGAAAAACGAGAAGTTGCACTTGTTCGGATGGCCGCGCAAAAGCAAAGGATCGAAAGATATTATAATAGAAGGACCAACCTCCGACACTTTGAAATCGGGGACTTATTTCTACGGAAAGTCACCCTCAATACCCGAGACCTGAATGAAGGGAAACTAGGCCCGAATTAGGAAGGACCGTACCGAGTCATCAGAGTTATCAGTAAATGATCTTACAAACTTGTCACAATGGAAGGCGAATAATTGCCAAACAATTGGAATGTATCACTACTCAAACGATACTACTGCTAAGATATGACCTTCTCTTTTTTCCATTTGAATTTAAAACTAACTCATTGCAGGTGTTCGATCGAAGGTATCGAGGGCACCTTTCTACATGAAGACCTTATGTTTTAAAGCATGCATTGCACTCTTTTTCCCTTAGATCAGGTTTTATCCCAAATGGATTTTTCCGGCAAGGTTTTTAATGAGGCAACAACTATGTGCTACCTAAGGAGAATTCAACAGTATCTAAGGCTTCTTTTCAATCAACCTCGAATACTGGGGGGCATCACCCTTGAAGGTTATATTTTCAAGAAAAATAATTCACGCCAAAGAGGGACTCGATAGGAAAACTTTGTAATGGGCCAAACGGTCAGATGAATTGTGTCCATATAGAATAGCCAAGCCCCGATGGCAAAATATGTATGCATGTGTCGATTATTCAAAGAAGCATTCCTTCTATATAACAATATTTTGTGTCTCAAAGAAATTTGCTATTATACGAACTCCATACTTGTGATTCCGTGAAAAACGGCTTAAGGGTAAAATGCAAATACACCTCGAATACTCGGGGACTGTCGTCGACAGTCCACACATTCGAATATCTAAACTCAAATTTATAAGATCTCAAAAAGGCATCCCTCGACTCGAAGGCCAAGTCCATCATACTCGAGGACTAAACTTTCGGACAAGTTCGAAAGATTATCGGGAAACAAGTCCAAGAGACACACCCAAATGCTATGACCATATTAAAGATTACGGTTGTCTAAAAAGGCTACGGCCGAAATAACGCGGTTTGGAGACGTCTAACTTCCGCCATAATTGAAAAGCCTTCAAATACTTTGAAAAACCGGTTAAATAAGGCTACCCTCGGCAAAGCAAATAAAAAAAGGGCTTCGATAATATCGGCCTTCGAAAAAGCCTCAGTGGTATGAACACAAACGGGTTCTGATCGATTGAACCCTCAAAAAACTCAATGGGACAAAAAAACATGCTAAGGCATAAAGAAATTTTCACTAAGTCTTTTAGCTAAAAAAGAGGGAAAAATCATAGCCGTTTTAGAGGCCGAATTGGCCCAACTTAAAGAGCCTATGGGCCAATATAAAAGAGCCTAAGGGCCAAAACATGAAGAGTTCGAGACCTTACTGTCACTCAACTCGGACCCAAGAGTCCCATCATCCCAAGCTCGCAACAAATCGACTTAAGCACAGCTCGAGGGTTAACAAAAACCTTAAGAGGTATTCTATTATAAGTTCTAAGATCACCCATTGATCACTAAAAAACCTAAGGGTTTGTTCTATCCTGAGTCCGAGCCAGCACTCACTTAATCATTGAAGTTATTGCATAAAGATTTTTTCACAAAATGAAGACGAGGCAGAATTCAATACAATTCGAAGATGAAGCAAAAAGAATTCCTTATATTTATAAAGGGTATTTACAGTGCCCACGAGGGGCCTTACACAAAAACAAAGAAACAAAAACAATATCTTAAAGAGCCTAATCTACTTTGGGAGCCGCATCTTCGGGAACCTCCTCCTCGATGACTCCATCCTCATCTTCCCCACTCTCAAAACCACTAGCGGAATCTTTATCATCGGATGAAACGAGGAACCTAGCATCGGTTTCCAGCACCTTTGCTTGAGCTATCTCTTCAGTGAGGTCAAAACCTCGGGCGTGGATCTCTTCAAGGGTCTCCCTCCGAGATAGGCACTTAGCCAGATCATTGCTCCATTTTTCCCGGTCGGAGGCCTCTCTTAGCTCTACTTGAACAGCCTCGGCATCCCTTAAGTACAAGGCGATGGTTTTATCGGCCGTGACCTTCGTCCTCTCCACTTCGTCCCTGGCTTCAGCGAGTTTGGCCTCGAGCTCCTCGATCTTCTTGGCCTAGGCCAAAATTTTCACTTTAGTACCCTCGGAGCTGGGTCTCAGCCGAGGTCAGTTGAGCCAGTGCAACTTCTTCATCGGTAGCAAGCCGATCCATATTTTTCTTCCATTGGTTGCAATCAGCCATAACCTGATCGACCTCGCCCCAAAGCTGCCCGATCATCTCCTATTTCTGCTGCAGCTGAGACATTGAAGTGTTAGCCTCTACAGTAAGGTCAAGAAGACCATACTCTTTCAAAATCACGGTTACCTGCTTGTCTAGCTCGGTTTCATTTTTACGAGCTTTCGCCAAATCCGCCCGAAAGTCCTTGAGCTCCTCTTCCTTTTGGCTACAAAGGAGCCTCATGGCCTTCTCTTCATCCAAAGACTTCTTGAGCTCGGCCTCACATTGGCTGAGCTCGGCCTTGAATTTGGTGATGTACTGCACAAAAAAACAAAAAAGATATCAGTTAAGAGAAGGGGAGAAGAAGAAAAAATTGCAACATCGGGAGCTAATACTTACCCGGGAGAAAAGACGATGAGCCTCTTCGAAGAGGGTAGATGCGTTGTTGAGGTCGGCGGAATCATCGACCCCAGTAAAGCAATCCTGAAAAGGATCTTCTTTACCAAGGACTCTGCTCGGGTCAGGCATTCGTAGAGCTCGAGCTTCATTCATTGACTCCTCAGAAAAAGTTGGTAAAGAAGGAGAGTAACCCATTGTCACGGCCCCGAGCAAGTCACTCGGGGCGCTCTGTTCAGCCTCGGGGGTCTTGGTACTTGTCCCCTATGGTATGCTTGTTGAAGGTGGTGGAACAATCACGACCCCGGGCGATCCGGGGGCTTTGCCCGAATTTTCCTTCAAAATTTCCTTATCACGAGGCAGGGTCTCCGGTTCGGAGGGTTTGGCGGCCTAAACTGGTTTCCTAGTTCGGGTTACCAGCGTCGATTCTTTGCCCTCGTTCCCTTCATCATCCATAAACTAGTGGGCCGAGTCTACGTCCACATGAATAACATTCCTCCTACATCTTTAAGGAAGAGCCTTTTGGTCATGGGGATCTTCGGGTTTAGAAACCCTTTTTCTCTTATTATCCTTCATCGATTTAAGAATTGGGGACTCGATTTCCTCCCCAGGAGGGGCCGGCCTTATCTCAGAGAAATCTCCGATGCCTGCATAAATCAAAAATTGAGTATGAAGAAACAAATGACTTCGGTAAAGAAGGAAAGCACCAAAAAACTTACAAAAGAAAACTCATCGTGGTATTTGGCTTCGCATTTGCCCCTCGACAAATCGTGCCATTTGCGCTTGTCATACGAGGAAGTCGTAGCCAACTTCCTGACCCAGTCTTCGAGGTCAGGGATTGCATGGGGCATCCAAACAACAACTGCAGAAAAGGTAAATGCGTCACACAAATGTGGAAACGAAGTACAAGGGGGATACTGGGAAAAGGATTTCACTTATGAGCGGGGTTCCATCTCTCCGGGAACGGCATTTTTTCCTCGGAGATGATGTCCGAGGTCCTCACTCGAATGAACCGGCTCATCCAGCCTCGGTCTTTGGCCTCATCATTGCTAGCAAAGAAGGCTTTGCTCAATCGGCGTTGGAGCTTGATCAGTCCTCAGAAAAGCTGAGGCCGATACGATCGGATGAGATGATTGAGGGTAAACTCCAATCCCTTGGCCTTGCTAGACAAATAACGGAGCATGATCACTATGCGCTAAAAGGAGGGGTAGATCTGGCCGAGGGTGACTTAATTTCTTTTGTAGAAGTCAATCACGACCGGATCAAGAGGACCCAGTGTGAAGGGGTAAGTGTAAACACTTAGGAATCCCTCCACGTGGGTGGTGACACTCTCTTCGGTGGTCGGGATCTGTACCACGACCTCATCCCCCCGCCACACTCCTTTCTCACAGCCTCGATATATTTCTCCGTTATCGAATAGATATACCTCGATGCATGCTCACTTCGGCCGGGAACTGCAGGGGGATTTTCTATGTCAAAATCTTTCTTTATGACGCATGCGACGGGAACGATCTCATGAAGGACCGGCGCTTTGTCACCGGCCGGACGGGAGGAAGAAGAGGAAGTCTTTTCTTTTTGAGGAACCGTTTTAGAGTTTTGCCATGTTTTTTAAGTTTAGAGATGCGGAAGGTGGCGGAGTTTAGCATTTTCCGGCACTAAAGGAAGGTAGAAGCAGGTGGTGAGAGAAAGAGATGAAGAAAGGGAGAATCAGAGAAGTTGCAAGAAGGAAGTAAAGCCTCTAATTCAAATGAGGCACTACAAGATTATACATATACAACTACGAACTACGTTGTAGCTAAACATAAAAAACTCTGTGGCTAAACACTTTAGCCACAGTAATTTTTTCCGTAGCATCCGTAGCTAAAAATAGTGTAACTAAAAGTTAGCTACAAACTTTAATATTTCGTGGCTAAGGATTAGTACTTATTGCTACAAGACTTTTTGTGATGTAGCTATATTAATAAAATATTTTGCCACGAAGAATATATATTTATAGTTAATGATTTTATTCTTTTGCCACGATAAATCAATTTTGTAGCTATCTTCTATACTTTAGCTACAAAGGGATATTCCGCGGCAAAAGATGTTATTTATTTAGTCACAAAATTTAAATATGTAGCTATGCTCACATATTAGATTTGTATTATAGTATTTTTATTTAGCTACCAACCCATAATTTCATAGCTATAAATCATCAAAATATCGATGATTAGATTTTTTTATTATGTTTTATTTGGTGACTAGATTTTGATTATATTTTATTTTTATGAAAAATTAATTTATTAGAGATAATAAATATTTCTGTCCTATGGTTACTATTTTTCTTTTTTACCTCACTAAATATTTTTAAACTTTTCAAATATTTCATATCCATACATCTTTGATAAAATCATTAATACAATAATAAACTTTGAATATCACTTTATTATACGAATTTACATCCAAAAATTTCAAAAATTAATTCTAAAATATACAATTATCTATCAAAAGTAAACTATATTATATAAAATTCTGAAGGGTTCCACATCAAAACAGAACTAAGTTATAAGTATTTAATCTGGGATTGAAGATGTTGTCACCAAATGATCTTCTGCCATCACGGATGAAGTAATTTCACTCTTTGTATCAAGACTAATCCTTGATCTTCTTGCATTCAATAGATTAAAATGTACCATATAAATTCAAAAGAAACAAAAATTAGCTGTATACTTTTCAATGATAACGTATAACAAAAGGGAAAAATTCAATGCAACAAGATAAGAAAATAAACCTGTATACTTTTCTAAAAACTTTTGAAAAGATTTTCATCTAATTTTTATTTGTAATGTCTTTTCGAGTGGCTCTTCCCAACATTGCATTATAATCTTTAAGGTTCCACTCAATACCTATCATAATACTGCATTATATATATATATATATATATCAAATTGTTAGAATATAAATCCAAAAATTCAAATCAAGTAGGTGTATGGAATTGAAAAATTCTAAATATAAATACATAAACATACTTGGAAAGACAGAAGATGCCAGACTATCTAGCCGGTGATTCCATTGGTTTGCTCTGTACATGTGAATAGAGAAAGTGATGTTGAAGAAGGAAATGGGAAAAGGGAGGAAAAGGGAAGGCGGTTGGGAAGGGAACGCATGGGGAGGCGGCTGGGAAGGACGAAAAGTGAGTTTAAAGGGTTTTTATTAGGTTTTGCCGTTTTGGGGATTTTGGTTTGGGCCAATTGGCCTTTATGTTTCATTTTCTTTTTGTTAATATATTATGTGCTTCCTTTTATTTCTTACTTAATATGAATATCATAAATGAGAGAAATATAAGTACTAACAAGTACAGGTAAGTAAGAAAGTTATGTAGGAAAAATGTAAAAGATTAAATACATAATTTATATTAAGTAAAATAGAAAAATCAACTTGCATGAAATAGAGATATTCTATAATATATTATATTCTTTACAATTTTTTTCGTCCTACACAATATTATTAGTTTTGTTATTTACTCCTATTTCAATTATATTAACTTCTTAATTTTAGTATTTAATTATATTATAATAGTTATTAAGTTGTTAAAATAGTATTAGACCATTAAATATACAACTTTTCTATTTATCTAACTTGAGTGTAACTAGTGATCAATGTACATAGATACAAACATATTGTCTAAATTTGATATTGCTTATTCAAATCTAATGAAAATTAATTACATGTTTATTTAAATTGTATAGAAAATTATAAGCATAATTTGTTTAATATGAATTATGATATACTAATTAGTTTTGTTATATACTCCTATATCAACCATATTAAAATATTAATTTTTTAAGTGAAACTTAATAATATCGAATTATGTATATATTATAAAATATCAAATAATAAACACAAGAGAAACATGATCTTCTTCGTGTATCTTTATCATATTTAATTCTCAATGTACAATGTAATTCATGCAAGATTATAGTTTTTAAAATTCTATAAAATTAGTCATCGACACATTATTTAGCTATAATTCCACTATATTGAATAAGAATTATAATATAATTAGTTTTCCCGTGGACTTAAGTATCAATTAATTTCATAATTCTTTGAAATAGTTTTAACAAAATTATATAACTATTAATATGAATTATAACACCGTAAAATTTTTTGTAGTGTTAAATATGTTCATATGTATTTGTAGCTTTGGTCATTTATCAAAATTAAATACACCAAAACCATCACAAAGTTCTTCAATGTATGAGCACTTATTTAAAAATGAATCATTAGATATATGAAATTATTCTAAGTACTTATTAAAAACTTTTAAAGTCTTCAATTTATGAGGACTTATTTAAAAATAAATACTTAAATATAAGAAATTACTCTAACTACTTATATTTAAAAAAAATAGTTAAGTACCAGACATACATAAATTCTCCACAAATGTTAATATATTTTGAATTTTACACCAAATATATATAATTAACGTCCAAAACTAACATGGTGCAGTAAAATAAATTATGAGTTTGATAAATAAAGTAAATTAATAAGTTTAGAGCTACAAGTAGGCATACAAATGGTTTATTAAAATTAACTTTTGCATATTTAAATTTTATTAATACTTCAAACTATATATAATTACTATAGTTTATGTTATTTTGGAAAAGTATAACTTTTGTTAAAATTAAATTTTCATAACTTGATATTGTTTGAGCAACTCTTATAGCCAGATCATTGCAATGACAATCATAGTTGTACGACTAAAGTATAGTAAACTCGTAAATTTATCGTCACTTTAAATTTGTCTCTATTGATTTTTTCATGACAAATAGTAGTAACTATTATCTAATTATTTTTATTTTCTTAAAATAAGAAGATAAATATTTATTTGACTACAAAATTTTGTTTCAAATTTTTAATGTGGCTAGAAGATTGCTACTGTGACGAAAAATTTACCTTGTGGCAAAAACTAATGATTAATTACAAAATTTATCTTAGCAATAAATTCGTGTTATATCATTTTATCGTGATGACTATTACCAAGACTTTTTAGAACCTGAAGCAAAGTTATTTATTTGGTAATATTTGATTTAAATGGTTTATTGTGGCTAAAAGGTTATTGTTGCTATATTAAGTTTCAACTCGTGACAAAAATTAATGATTAGCTACGAAATTCTATTAAAGCAAGAAACATGTGGTTAATTTAACCTATATTGCCACAACTTTTAATAACTTGAAGCAAAAATATTAATTTAGCTACAATATTTTCTTTAAAATATTTTATTGTGGCTAAAAAGTTACTATAGCTATAGTAATTTTCAACTCATGGCAAAAAACTAAGGATTAGCTACATAATTCAATTATACCAATAAATCTGTGACTATATCATTTAACTATTGCCACAACTTTTTAGAACTTGAAGCAAAAATATTTATTTAGCTACAATATTTTATTTTCAATAATTTATTGTGGTTAAAAGGTAACTATTGCTACAGTAACTATTGATTTATGGCAAAAACTTATGATTAACTACCAAAATTTATTTGTAGCAATAAATTTATAGCTATTTAGGTAGTTATTGCCACGATTATTAGCAATTGTAGCTAATATGAGGAATTAGCTTTATCAACTTAATTTTTGTGGCAAAGAAATTTTATAGTTTTGCAAATAGCCATAAAATTTTAATTTTTGTGGTTATTATCAGGTATTAGCTATGATTTTTAAATTTGTAGCAAAGATTTCATAGCTATAGATGCATAATGTTGTAGTGAGGAGCCCGTATTTATAGATACGTGGCGACGGTTTGGTGACGTTAGTGGCCGATCGTTACTAGCACATATTTAATGTTTTGGGGAAGAGAACTGATGGGACATTTCGATCACCTTGAGCGCTTGCGTCACGAGAGTGACATCATCATCAGGGACTTCGAGGAATCAAGTCTCGAATCATTTCTTATCATGTTATTCTAAGAAACGCTGGGACTATCTGTATACTGTCAAAATCAGGTATGCTCGATCTTGTGGGCTCGAGGAATCACTTCAGGAATGAGTCCGAGGTACATTGGGTTCGAGGCCGATGGTAGATTTCGCAGTTCGAAGGTCAAAGTGACCAATGGACGCCGAGGCCGAACATGACCGGCCTCGAGATAATGCCGTTGTGGTTTTATAATAGAAAGAGCAAGATTCCCGCCACGTCCCCAAGATCATGGCGTAAATTCTGGAATAGATTTGTACGAGTTAGTACGAATTTGTATTAGGCGGTTAGACAGCTGTCCCAATAAGATTCCTTACTGTAAATAGAAAAGTACCTTATTTAGGGTTCTCCTACTATATAAAGGGGACCCCAATCATTTATAACGATAATCAATCATTAGTAAAGAATATACTCTATTACTTTCTTGCCTACTACTCATTTGAATCATCTTATTATTATTTTATTATTTTTGTTGTTCTTACTCATTTACCTCGAGGTTGCCTTCGCTCGAGGTCGAAGTCTGCTTACACGGTTGGTTTGACTTGCCTTACTCTTAAATTTGTACATCAAATTCCTTGTTTATCAATTAGTATTGGATTAAATCACATATCTTTAAAATCAGAAATAAATTTAATTGTTACTCGTATTTTCGAGGTAAACAATATGTACTTGTCATGTGGGAATAGTATTGTACTATACAAGTAACTCTGGATATCTAAATACTACTCCAGTAATTACATATTGGTTTTCAAATATACTCGCGATATCAGGTACTATTAATTAAAGATCTAATAACACATTCTTATTATTTAAGTGGTTAGAAAACCCTATAATCATTTGTTAATAGTCTCACACTGGTTATAAGAATTTGAAAAGAGTTTACAACTCATTATCCTAAGCGTTTTATTTATCAATCTTATTGGATGTTCGAATTCTTTCGTATGGTATTAATATTTAACGTTGATAAATCCATTCTTATAAATATTTCTCTTGATATATCTTCTACTTCATATATTATTCTAGGCTAGCTTCTCACTCTCTTCTTCTTCTTCCTCTTTTTTTTCTAGTTTATTGTGCGTTATGCCGAATGGGCGATTTGTATATTTTTTTACAGTAAATAATAATATATCTCTGCAGTAGCAAAAAAATACATAAAATAAATTTGAGTGCTTAGTATGGTGGCCCTTTGAGTGATTTCTTGGTCAGACTGACTTCATGCTATTAGCAATTTAGCATTATCTTGGCCTTGAATGATTTCTTGATTAGACTTACAAGTAACACTTTTTTTGACTACATTCATTTCATCTATGTGTTTTTGACCAGAAAATATAAGCTTTCGGTTAAAATATTAAATTTTATATAATAAGGGTTAAACTTAGTTAATGATAATATTTCTAAATATAAAATTTGACAACACGAATAACGTAAGATAGAGTCAGTGGGAGATTGAAAGTAACGCACATTTAATATTCCAAAAGGTATGAGCAACAATAGAGGAATAACTAGCAATAAATAATAATAAATGACATTTAAGTAAATAAGAAGAATGATTCACCCAATAATGAATGAGATAGATGATTGTTCCTCCTACAATGATGGGTGACTAGAGCCGTCAATATGGGTTTGGCCCGTTGGGCCAGCCCAGCCCAGCCCATAATTTAGCAGGGTTGGGCTAGAATTTTTGGAGCCCGTTTAAAAACGAGGCTTTTAAGCCCGACCCGAGTAAGCCCGTGGCCCGTGAGGCTTGACTGAGGCTGGGTCGGGCCGGCCCGTGGGCCTAATAAAATATTTATTTAAAATATATAAAAACCAAAAAGTATACTGCCTTTAGAGATGGAAAGTCAGAATTGGATCTTTACTAAGAGGAACCAAAACTTGATCTTGAGAAGTTTCAAGAGATGATGTTGTCATGTATTGGAAGGACCATTCTAGAAAATAACACGATCTTTCAATGATGGTGCGTGATGTACTTAGTATTCTTATTACCATTGTACCATCGAATCAACATTTAGCATTGGTGGCGTGTTCTTACAAAGTACACAAGTTGCATTTATTATGAAAATGTCCAAACACTTGTTACTACTTGAAATTGGCTGCACAGGTTTTCTCGAACTCAAACTGGTAATATTTTTTTTATGTGAATTTAAATATTATTAATTTTTAAATTTAATTATTTTTAATATTTAACTAATTTATATTGCATATGAATTGTAGATGAAAGTGAAGATGTTAAGACAACTTTGTCACAAGCGGATCCAAATGTGTT